AATCCTTGTCCCTTTTTTAACCTTTTAGTCGCGTTGCTATTCCTTGTCTTCTCCCTCTTATATCTCCTTCCTCCATTTATTCCAGCTCCCGCGTCTGTTTCTCGCTCGTAGTCGACGACAACGACGACGACGATTCATGCTCTCTCTCTCTCTCTTTCTCTCTCTCTCTCACTTAACTTACTAGCTTTATCTAGTACATTATTTACAATCCATATTTACTTATGTTACATCATCCACGCCGGGTTTACTTCGAGCAAATCCCGCGCGAACACAGCACTCGCTCCTTACGTATGTTCCTTTCTTGACGCCCGTTCGTCCGCCGCGAATTTCGGACTCCGCGGGAGATAAGGGAGAATCGCACGCGCGAGGAGGCACCCTTGCGATGCGTTCCGTGTTCGATATTCCCACTTTGTTCGCAGGCGAGAGAAAGAAAACACCTTTTAGCCGCACCCTCGCCTAAGTCCACCTTGCATCCGCGCACCTCGTTATTAAACCATTCTTTCTCGGGTCCCTATCGAAGACCGCCAAGTAAATCACTTCCGTTCACCGATGACGATGAAACAACAACAATAACAACAGCAAACAGCCAACAGGTCCGCGATCAGACTTTACGAACGGACGAACGAGCTCCGACCTGGCCGCGCGAAGGAGGAACGTCATTACTACGGCCGTCAATGGTACCCTTTGAGAGAACGCTACTGGGTTTTCTCTTGCGTCACGTTGCGAAAAACACGATGAAGACATTTCACTTATCACCGGGACTTTGTCGATGGAGGAAAAATAGCCAATGCCGTTCGAGGAACGGTGAAGTCTCGATAACGATGAGAATGATACTTCGGCGACGAAGATACCATGAAGAACTCGGGCGAAGAATGACCACGATGTTCATCGACGGCCGTGACACTCACGGCGATGATCCTCTCTTATTTCGTATTTTTCTTATTCTGTCTGTTCCGTCCGCAGCTTTTATCCTCCTCTTTCTGGGTCTATGCGCGCGGTCAAGGTCGGCAAAAAATCACCGACCGAGCGCGTCAGCTTCTCAGCCTCCCCAATGGACCGGTCTCGGCCTCGTTAAACCCCGTTGAACCTCGTCGAACGAGCCACCATTCCGTACCCTCGTCTTGATAACGAGCGCCGCCGTCCGGTAGATAGAAAGGGCGCCGCGAGTCGGTCAGCTACGAGGTCGTGTAACTGCCGGTGCGTGCCTGAAGGTAATGATGATAGAACGGTGGCAGTGTCGTCGTTTCTGCCGTTGACGACACATTCGCCGAGTTCTGCGAGGTTACCGCGAGGCCCAACGGGGGAGGCCCCGGCGAACGCTAGTGAGCCGCGAGCGAGTGGGCCGTAAGGGCCTGAGGACTGAGCATCGGCGGACTGTGACTGTGGCCCATGGGCGAGCCGTGCAGGTGATCCTGCGGATGATAACCCTGATGAAGGCCGCCCTGGCTCTGGTGACCTGGCGGCATACCCTCCATCATGCCGTCGCCGAGCGTATTGGGCGGCGTCATTCTTTTCTCCTTTTGCCGCCGATTGCAGAACCACACCCTGACCACTTCTTTCTCGAGTTGCAACGAGTCCGCTAGCGACGTGATCTCTTGGGCCGAAGGCTTCGGCTGCTTGTGGAAGTGTTGCTCAAGAGCACCTTTGACTGATACCTCGATCGACGTTCTCTTCTTTCGCTTCCTTCCCTGAGCGGCGATTTTGTCGATGCTCGTCGGCGAGCCGGTCGTCGAGTCCGCCTCCTCGAGCCACTTCTGCAGCAGCGGCTTCAGCTTGCACATATTTTTAAAGCTCAGTTGTAGAGCCTCGAACCTGCATATTGTCGTCTGCGAGAAGACGTTGCCGTAGAGAGTACCGAGCGCGAGACCGACGTCCGCCTGGGTGAAGCCGAGCTTAATGCGTCGTTGTTTGAACTGTTTGGCAAAGGCCTCGAGATCGTCCGACGTTGGCGTGTCTTCCTCACCAGCGCTATGATCCCTATCGAGAGGATGGCCCGCGTGCAGAGGATGCCCCGACGGTGGACTGTGATTGTGCGCATCCCTCAGATGATGAGGTAGACCGGTCTGATGGTTGTGCAGCTGATGCGGATGTTGATGTGGATGTTGATGCAGCATGCCATTCATCGCTGCATGGTACTGTTGAAGGGTAGTGGGCGAGGCCGCACCACCGCTCGGGTTGTAATGCGCCGACGGGACGACTGGTGCATGCCAAGAGTGCGGCGAGGCCATGCCCGGGGACTGATGCGGGCCCCGATGGTGCATACCCTGGTCCGTCGCGGTCGCCGCGGCCGCCGCGGTCAACGGTTTTACATCGAGACTCGCGTTCGCCTGATGGGGATGGTGGTGCGGATGATGGGTAGTATGGTGCATGCCCATCGAAGCCGCCCAGGGATCGCTGCCAGGCTGTAAGCTCACCCAGGGATTCGCCGACGAGAGACTCGCCGCCGGATGGGAGAGTCCGTTCGGCGACGGCGAAGACGTCACCTGATGGTGATGGTGATGGTGATGATGATGCTGCGGCGCCGGCATGTACTTCATCTCGCCAGCGTCGGCGGCGCTGCGGGGCGAGCCCGAAGAGTAGCCACCCACGGCGATGTTCATCCCGATCGTTGTACCTGAACCACCATCCAGGTCGGTAGACACTGCGCTACTAACCGGCATGTACGTAGTAGCGGCCATCTACTTCCCGCTCGTCGAGAGGCTTAGTGAAACCCTCTCCCGTGTGATTTTCCGCCGTGGAACTTCCACGGGGTATGTTTCTCACTTGCACCCCTTTCGCAAATAATCTTCTGAATCTTGACTTTTGTTAGTGGACAGAAAGATTATGTAAGCAAAGAAGTCTCAAGAGAATTAGTAATGATTATCGATAGAATCTCCTTGTCCTTGATTCTTCCAGAATAGAATAGATTCCGGTGTTGTCAGTTATATGTTTTATCTCTAGTCATCTCACGATCAATTGATCCTCGAGAAGAAAATTTCTTAGTCACTGATCACTTGTCGCACAATCCACAGTTCGCGTCGATACACTGGATACCAGACGAAGCTGGTCGTCGCTCGCGACGAAGTTTCGTCCATAGTTTCTCGAAAATGTCATGTATGCGACAACACGGAAACATCGATGAGTCTGCGATGAGAAAGGGTTGTCGATATACTACTTCCCTCGCCTTTCCCTCGCTACTCCGCCGGGGTCGGGGTGGGTCTCCGCGTCTCCGAATCGGAGCACCGCTCTGCCGCGGCGCTCCAAAACTTGGTTCTTCCTCTCGTTCTCTCTCTCTATCGTCAGCTCTATCGTCGCGTCTCACTCGTCTCCGCACGATAATCACACGTGAAATGAAAGCTCGCTTCCTGGCTATGATATACTCTGGCCAACCCTCGAGTCGAGTCGGAAAGTCACTCGCGAGGATATCGATTCAGCCGAGGTCACACATCCCTGGTGGGGATTCAAACTTGTCGAGTAATCACTAATCTTGGCTCGATGACGACGACGACGATGATGTCTACGACGATGCGAAGTTTACTCCACACTGGCGTCGTGTCTGCGGTCCCGACGTAGTGGACGCGTACCGATGATGACGATGCACGGCGCGACTGCACTCAGGGGTTGCCACCGCGGACCGACGACCGAGCAGCGAGCAACCGACCGACCGGCTCGGCGTAAAGGGACGTACGACGGTAATCGCGGAACGGAAGAGACTCGACTCGGCGGGAGTAGAGTAGGTATATGATGACGTGCGTGTATGTTCCTTCTGATGGTAGATGTCCCTCTCTTTACATGAGTGTACGTGTGCGTATACATACGGTATACGTGTATATGTGGAAAAGCGTGTGGGTGAGAGAGTATAAGAAAAGAGAGAGAGAGAGAGAGAGAGCGAGAGAGAGTATATGTATGTGAATGTGTGTATGTGTATGTGTACGTGTGTATGGCGACGGAAGAGAGACGGGTTAGAAAGATCTCGCTCGAGCTCTCATGCGTTATGCATGTCGTAGCTGAGAGCGACTGACTGCCTCGCCTCGCAGCTCGCCTGAGGTTCCCGAGGTTCCCGGAGCTGCTTGTGGTGGAGGTTCGTCATGCGCGTCGTTGTCGTGCACATCCCTACCACCATTGGCTGCGCAGCTTGCAATTGGACGGGCTCACAAGGTGGCCGTCGACATACGTCAGCATCAGGCGGAACCTACTATGACCGCGCCTACGAAGGCAGGCGAGGTACCCCAGGCGCCAGTCCTTTTCGACCCCCCCTCGTTGTAGTTTGACTACGCTCTCGCTGGCTAACGATGCTCGTTCGCTAACGCTGCTGTTGTTGCCGCCGTCGCCGTTGCCGCCGCCGCCGCCGCTACCACCACCACCTCCACCATCACCACCACCACCACCACCACCACCACCACCACCACCACCACCACCACCACCACCACCACCACCACCACCATTACCACCACCAGCACCACCACCAGCCACCACCACCAG